TCGGATCAGCGCAGTGTGCCGGCCGCAGTGGCCATTGGAGGGTGAACCAACAGCACAAGGAAGACCTTTCTCTCTATCTCTCTCTCACACTGTCCACTCTGCCTGTCCAAAAAAAAAAAGAAAGAAAAAAAAAGAAAATGCTGTCCTGAGCAAAAAATGTACGTGGTGTCTGCTTCCTGCCTCGTAGGGGAGACGGACATCAGTCCAGTAACTAGAGACACAGAGATGGAATTGTGGGAGGGCTAGGAAGGTTATGGATAAGGAGTTTCTGAAATCAAATCAGAGGGGAGTGGAGGAAGGCTTCCCTGACTCGGGCAGAGCCAGCCGAGCCTGTAGGGTGGACAGGCAGGTGGGGAGGCAGGAATGCATCTGTGCAGGCCCCGGAGGAGGAAAGGGAGGGAGGAGAGGAGGAGGGAGTGGGGTGAAATTGATGAAGGAAAGAGGTTTACTTTGGCTGATGGTTCTGGAGAGGCAAGGTCTGGGGCCCTCGTCTGGCAGAGCCTCTGCGTGGTACAGAGGATCACTGGGCAAGAGACAGGAAGCCCCTCAGGTGGAGCCCCCATTTACAACCACCAGGATCCAATGGGAGCTTCATCCTGACAACCCTCCCTAACCAGTCTCATCTCCCAGAGGGCCCAGCGCTAAATTCCAGAGTTGGATTAAGTTTCTGCCTTCTTTGTATCTCAAAATGGGGATTAAATCTCAATAGATTGAAGCCTTGGGGAGCCAAGGCCAAACCATAGTCCTCAGTGGGTGTGGGGGTATCAGAGGTGAACCTACCAGCACGGTCGGCCTTAAGTCTGTGTGGGAACAAGGCCCTCTTAACACAGCTGACGGGAGTAAAACAGATGGGTCTTGTACGTCGGCTCTCTGTATCCTTGGGTTCCATATCAGCAGATTCAACGAACCAAGGCTTGGGAACACTTGAAAAAAACTTGTCTGAACTTTTGCTTATTTATTTTAAAGGGAGAGAGAGAACAAGATCTCTTTCATCCACTGTTTCACGCCTCAAGTGCTCACAACATCTAGAGCTGGGCCAGGCTGAAGCCAGGAGCCTGGAACTCAATCTGGGTCTCCCACAGGGGTGGCAGGGACCCAAGGACTTGAGCCATCACCTGCTGCCCAGAGTGTGCATCTGTGGGAAGCTGGAATTGGAAGCAGAGGTGGGACTTGGACGAGGCATTCCCAGGTGGAAGGCAGGGCTCCCAAGAGGCATCTTAACTGTGGTGCCAAACTGTGTGTACTGAATGTGGACATTTTTTCTTGTCATTGTTCAGTAGACAACTACACTGACATTTTGTTAGGTATTAAAGTATACAGGAGAATGTGTGTAGATAATATGCAAATGTAATATCATTTTTTTAATTGACCGGAGCATCCAAGGATTTTGGTATCTGCAGGGGTCTTGGGACCAACCCCTCTCCCCAGTGAGTAGCTAGGGATGGCTGTGCTAAAACAGTGCCAGTACAACCCTAAATGTATAGAGAACTCAAGATTACTATGTCTTAAAACCATTATATCTATCTGGGACATGGAACAATTTCTTCCAGTTGCTTATTTAAATATAATTATATATTGTGTTAGTGCATTTAAAAAATAAACATTGTATTTTCAGGTTATGATATATCCTGAATGGAAATTTTTTTACTATAATTATGGTAATCATTACAGTTTATACTTATTTTAGCATACTGCAATTGGAACATTTTTAATGTAACATATGTATTTAAAATAATTTTGCTCGAATCACAGAATGACTTAAATTTGTGTTTATCAAATTAGATAACACTCAGTTCCATTTATTTTGCTTTTCTATGTAGATATATTTTTAAAAGTCAGTGTTACGGGTCTGGCACTGTGGCATAAAGTAAAGCCGCCGGGTAAAGCCGCCGCCTGCAGTGCCGGCATCCCATATGGGTGCCAGTTCGAGTCCCAGCTGCTCCACTTCCAATCCAGCTCTCTGCTATGGCCTGGGAAAGTCCTTGGTCCCCTGTACCCATGTGGGAGACCTGGAAGGGGCTCCTGACTCCTGACTTTGGATCCACTCAGCTCCAGCCATTGTTGCCATCTGGGGAGTGAACCAGCAGATGGGAGACTTTCTCTCTTTTTCTCTTTCTCTCTCTCTCTCTCTCTCTCTCTGCCTCTGCCTCTGCCTCTCAAATAAATAAATCTTAAAAAAAAAAAAGTGTTGGCTGGTGCCACGGCTCAATAGGCTAATCCTCTGCCTGCGGCGCTGGCACACTGGGTTCTAGTCCCGGTCGGGGTGCTGGATTCTGTCCCAGTTGCCCCTTTTCCAGGCCAGCTCTCTGCTGTGGCCCGGGAGGGCAGTGGAGGATGGCCCAAGTCCTTGGGCCCTGCACCTGCATGGGAGACCAGGAGGAAGCGCCTGGTTCCTGGCTTCAGATCAGCGCAGCGCACTGGCTACAATGCGCCAGCCATAGAGGCCACTTGGGGGGTGAACCAACAGAAAAAGGAAGACCTTTCTCTCTGCCTCTCTCTCTCTCACTGTCTAACTCTGCCTGTCAAAAAATAAAATAAAATTAAAATTAAAAAAAGTGTTATTAATGACAGGTGGGACATGTACCTTATAATTTGTATAAGGAAGTAAAAACACAAACTTATGATTTCTTACAATTAAAATGTTATAAGAAAAACCACTACTATCCTAATTGGAGCATATCCAAGCAGGTTCAGGTAAGCAAGAGTTTTAATCTTGCTTTAATCCAGAGTTAGGAACATGCTGATTGGGTCTGCAGCCGCCAGTGTTTTTTTATTAGACCATCAAGCAGGCAAGTGGGAGAGCAGCTGAGGGCCACGTGGCCGCGCCGTTCTGTGGGTGGCATCAAAGGAGTGGTGTTCACACAGTCCCAGAGCCCTGCTCCCCACGGCTTTGCGTCGTGCACACATTCAGCATGCGCACCTTCAGTTCTCCCAGCCAGGGTTTTAAAATAGAAAAAGAGAAAACCCCACAATGTTGCCCAGCCTCCACCCGGTGAGCTCGTGGCCTCAGGAGACAGGTGTCATTTGCCCCTGGCAAGTCCCCCAAGAAATGGGAGAGTCCTTTTGTAGCTGTTCTGTTCACTAAAAACTTGTGAGACCCGTGGCTCAGGTGGCACAGTTAATGCTGGGGTCAGGGGTGGGAGGCGGCTCTCTCTACATCCTTGCGAAGAAATTGAAGAAATGGGAGAGAGTAATCCTGGGAGGTGGATGGCGACTAGAGGGGAGACTGGGTGAGCAGGCCACCTTGAAAATGCGCTGAAACGGCTCAAATTGTACATAGAATGTCACTGCTGGGTAAAACGCCGGCATGGACTATACCGTTGTTATCCATGCCATTTGTCTATACTGGAGGAGTCACGGACACAGAGGTGCGTGCACCCTATTCCCTGGCTGTCCAAGGCATTTTCTAGAGTGTTCTTTGTGTATGATTTCCCTCTTAGGTGTTATCTTAGAGCTTGTTCCCTGCCTAGACAGTGGCTCTTCCTTACTAAAATCTGTCTGCCTTTTCCACTGCGATGTTCTTCAAGCCCGACCAGCCGACTTGCCCCAGATAGTGTTCTCATCTGCTCGTGGGAGGAAGCGGAGAATACTCGCTCACGCCCACACCCCGGGCACTGCCCCCGACCCTTTCTTTCTTCACACCACACAGTGCGTGGCAGTTCATGTCCTCTGTTCTTCAGGGGGCTAGGGGGCACCTGCTCAGGCCCCATCCTCGGAGGAGGAGGAAGTCACCATCAGCTGGAGACAGCGGGGCAGGGGCACAAGAAGTTCATGGTCAAGGCAATTGGGCTGTGTGGCCTCTGTTCCGTTCCATACGTTCCCTCTGTGACCTTGAAGTTTCTCGACTTCTCCATGGCCTGACCTCTGCTGAAACAAGCACAGCTTGGAGTGCCTAACTCCTAGGCCCCTTTCCAGACTCCACATTCTGTGTTTAGAACCATCAAAGACAGTTACGAAGCATTTGCTGTATACGCACAAGACATTGTGTGGAAGGGGGTGCTGGGAAAACCCTGCCCTGCAGGAGTTTAGAAATTCTGTATCTGGTCTCAGTGACGGCGTGGGGAGCCCAGTGTGGAGGTGTCTAGAGCTGGGGTCCCCTGCAGTCACCCTGTTGTCCCCACCCACGGGTCAGATTAGCAGTAGCTGCTCCCTCCAACGCAGGGCCTGCTTCTACAAAGGGCCAGATCGCCTTGGTTTTGGAGCTGTGGAGTCTGTGTCATACGTACTCTACTCCGCTGATGTAGCAAGAGCAGGTGTAGACAGGGTGTCGATGAATGGACATGGCTGTGTCCTCATAAAACTTTATTTACAAACACCATTTGTGGACACTGTTCTGCAGTTGTTAATGGGTTAACACTCTGTCTTCTCTTCTAGAATGGTTGCCCCACATATGCAGGGTCTGTGGGCGTGGCCAGACTCAGGTCTGCACCTGCAGAGATCTGACTGTGGGTCCTGTTGTTACTGGGCCTCCCCTCCCCCCAGGAGGAGCACTCAGATCCTCCTCTAGGGAGTTATCAGCTGCCAAGGATTTCCAGGGCCCCTTTGTCTGCAGGGACAGGAACTTCTGCCCACACAGAGGCTCTTTGATTGAGGTTGACTCCAGCAAAGCCAGCTGTGCCCATTTTTGGAAATGTCCCTAAGGGCCTCACCTTGTTCCTCCGTCCCTGAGCCTCTGGAGTGTTCCAGGCGGAAAGAATACTGTCTGGATGTGGCTCTCGGGCTTTGCTCTGTTGGCAGAAGGCCCTTGGGGTTGCACAAGGCAAGAAGTCAGCCCAGGAAATGTTCCTTGTCAGGAATAAACCAGCCGTGTGCCCTCTGGGTACTGGAAGTTGGAAATGTCTGGTCCTAGAATAACATCCACCTGAAGTCCTATTTGGGTATCAATAAATCATTTTAAGTCCTGGAAATGGGGTTTTGGCTCCAGCCAGGACCTGGGCAGCGCGGGCAGTTGTGCAGACTGGCAGCTCAGCGGCCGCACCTGGGCTCTGTCGTGTTTGCAGGGAGGGGTGATATCCAGCCCCAGCTGGACAGCGCGCTCCAGGACGTCAACGACAAGTACCTCTTGTTGGAAGAAACGGAGAAGCAGGCGGTGCGAAAAGCTTTGATCGAGGAGCGCGGCCGCTTCTGCACCTTCATCTCCATGCTGCGGCCCGTGATCGTAAGTGGTGGAAGGTTCCCGATGGCTTAAGCCGCCGTGTGGAGGAGGCTTCCCCTCCAGCCTGACCTATCCACACGGAGACACCGAGTGTCCGCTGTGCACCGGGAACCGTGATGCTGGGCCCGGGATTCTCCAAGCAGCTGATGGCTGTGCTGCCGGCTCCTTGTTCATGGTTCCTAGCGCACCTGTTCCACTTGGCTTTTTCTCCCCAAGTCACCGAGGCCTAGTGCAGCGGTTCTCAAAGTGGGGTCCCCAGGCCTGGAAACTCGTTAGAGATGCAGGTGCTCGAGCCTAACCCAGACCCGTGAAATCCAGAACTCGGGTGGAGACCCGGTGCCCTCTGCGGGGTTTTGAGACTGGCTAGAGGAGCCGAGCACCGTGGCATGACTGGGAGGCGAACACTGGAGGAGTGTCGGGGAGCGGGAGCAGCTTCAGTTATTTGCACACTGCAATGCAGCTTCTAACACAAGCTTTCGGCAGCTGCTAGGAGGCCCCAGCTCACTGCCCTGACTGGGGCCTGCCTTCGAGTTGTTCCCCCGAGTGTAGACTTTTTCCCTGGGTCGTGCTTGCCTAGGCCCATGGTCCCAGCTCAGGCCTTTGCTGAGTGAATGGAAGGTTTCTTCCATAGTTCCCTGCCCTGTCTTACTTGCCACTTGGTGGCAAAAAAAAAAAAAAAAAAAAAAAAAAAAAAAACAAGAAGGGGGCTGGTTAGCCCCTGTGGAGCACACATGCGTGAGTACTGGTGCAGAGATCGGGACAGAACATCTCGTGTCAGCCACTGAAGCCGAGCCACTGCGGAGTGGGGTCAGCACGTGGACGGGGCTGTTCGGTTAGACCACTGTGTGCAGTGGTAGTGTGGGCACCACCACGAGGCCCATGTGTGCACTCACCACTGTCTCCCATGCACAGATCACGCCACTGGGATGGGAGATTGGCTTATTTTTATTTTCCAAAAAAACCATTTTTCTAGTACCTTCAGCAGAGACCCGCTGGGTGCCTTTTGTGAAAAGTTAAAGGGGTTATACAGTGAGCCTAATAAAACCGGCTGGGGCAAGAGAGCGAGGTGAATCAGTCGTGATAATAACATGTTCTGAATTCCTTGCCTTCAGGAAGAAGAAATCTCAATGCTAGGGGAAATCACCCACCTTCAGACTATTTCGGAAGACCTCAAGAGCCTGACCATGGACCCCCACAAACTGCCGTCCTCCAGCGAACAGGTAGGAGTCCTGGGGTACGCACTCAGTGGGGAGCGAATCACAGGTAGATGGGCAAGGCCCCGATGTTTCCCCTCACCTTTTGCAGCATACGGTGAGCATCTCAGCCAGTACCCTGCGTGTTGGGTACTTTTCTAAGCCCTCTACGTAGCCCCATCTCCCCTATTATATTATGGACCGTTTACATAAGGAGGATGCTGGGGCACTGAGGTGAAGTCGCCCAACCAGGTTCATCTAGGTAGTGAGTGGTGCAGCTGGGGTGTGAACCAAGCCATCAAGGTCCAGAGCCCCCTGCCTTCTAGAAATAGACCCTCATGGGACCATGAGCCTGTGTGCTCTGGCTGGCACCGTCAGCTTCTCCATTTCTCCCCTTCCGGTGAACTAACACGTGAGGATCTCTCTTGTCTTACGAAAAGATGACTTTTAGAGTGCTCTATTCACTTGCTTTGTGTGATGTTACCACGACATCAAGAGGGAAGGGACGTATCTGGGGGGACAGTTGACGAATCCCATGCTGGCTTTAGCCCCTTGTGTGCAACTCTGGCCGCCTCCATTTGGGAAGAAGGTATATTTGGAGCCTGTCGTTCCTGTTCTGTGGAGCTGCTCTTACCAGGCCAGAGTGTCGTGCATCCATGGGGTAAACAGGCATGCCTGAGTGCCCGTATGTGAGCGGGAGCTGGCCCTTGGTCAAGCCGGGCAGACAGACACGGCAATCCTGGTGAACAGACTGCCTTGCTCTTGATCCTGTGGGGTTTTCAGGGTTCTAGTCCTGTTGGACAGGGCACAGTGACCAGTGAGTCTCCAGTGGTTAAATGCAAGATCCCCTGGCCCAGAAACCACCATCACCCCTGTGCTGCCACAGGACGGAAGTCTTATGGCCTTGGGCGTGATGGTTCCTCTGAGTTGTTAATCAGCCACTGTGATCATCTCTCTCTCTTTTTAACTGATATTTCATGGTTTTCCTTTCCTTCCCCGCCCCCGCAGCAAATCAGGAGTTTTACTTGTCTTGGATAAAGGGATTATGACATTGAAAGATTGGGAGTGTGGTTCTTAGATTTGAAAAAGTATTTTTTTTAAAACTTGGCAGTTTTGCTTTGATTCCCGCCCACCACGGTGGCAGCCTTTTGATGGTACGGTGGGCACTCGAATTATTTGGAATATTCTGGAATATTTTATGGTACGATTTCAGGAGTCCTGTTTCCCTCTCAGCACCTCACTCACCCAGCTGGCTCTGTCCCTGCAGGTGATTTTGGACTTGAAGGGTTCCGATTACAGCTGGTCGTATCAGACGCCGCCCTCTTCGCCCAGCACCACCATGTCCAGGAAGTCCAGCGTGTGCAGGTGAGTGAAGCCAGGCTCTGCTGCGCGATTTTCCCATGCTGCTGTGAGCCGCGGAGCCAATCTCTGTCCCCTAGAATGGCTCCTTTTAAGCAGGAAATGGTGAGATGATCGATAGCTCAAAGAACGCCATGGTCATCTCAATCCCATTCTTTGGTTTCTGCATGAATTTTGGATCAGAAAGAAACCTACATTAGGAGCAGTGCAGTGGTCCTGATGCTCCTTGGGATGCCCACATCCCGTATCCTGGTGTCTGGATTCAAGTCCTGTCTTCACTTCTGATCCAGCTTCCTGGTGGGCACCCTAGGAGCAGTCTGTGATGGCTCAAGCACTTGATTGAGTTCAAGGCTCCTGGCTTCCAGCTGGCCCAACCCCAACTGTTTTGGGCATTTGGGGAGTGAACCAGAGCATGGCAGGTGTCTCTCTCCTCTCAAATAAAATATGTAAATCTAAACAGAACCCATTAGCCCATAAACTGGTGGATGTAGCTTGCTTGCTCTCAGTTGCACTGTTAGGGGTTTTGTCATTTTATAAGATCTCATTTGATTTTTCTGCTCAGCAGTGAAAACTGAAAGAACTAATATAGGGTGCACACGGGGGTTCTTATCTGAGCTGATCTCACTGTTGCCAAAACAATTGTCCTCATTTCCCCCCAATTTTGTCTTGCGTTTCATAAAGTAAATGAAGTTCTTGCTTTGTCAGCCACCGTTACCACGACCGCCACCACCACTGTTAACTAATCCTATTCCCTGCTAAAGCACAGGCAGAATTATTTGGAATATTTCTACCAAATGCAAAATTGCTGTCTAGCAGTTTTCTTTCAGAAAGACATTCTTGGCTTGCTGACTGGGAAAGTTTTTTTTTTTTTTTTTTTTTAAGATTTTTTAATTTGAAAGTCAGAGTGACAGCCACACACACACATACATCTTTTTTTTTTTTTTAAGATTTATTTATTTATTTGAAAGCTTTACAGAGAGAGGTAGAGGCAGAGAGAGAGAGAGAATGGTCTTCCATCCATTGGTTCACTCCCCAAATGGCCACAATGGCCAGAGCTGAGCCAGTCTGAAGCCAGGAGCCAGGAGCTTCTTCTGGGTCTCCCATGGAGGTACAGTGTCCCAAGGACTCAGGCCACCCTCTGCTGCTTTCCCAGGCACGTTAGCGGGGAGCTGGATCAGAAGTGGAGCAGCCGGGACTCAAACCGGCACACATATGGCCGGGGCTTTTACTTGCTGTGCCACAGTGCCAGCCCGGAAAGAGAGAAAGAGGTCTTTCATCAGCTGGTTTACTTCCCAGATGGCCACAATGGCCAGGGCTGGGCCAGGCTTAAGCTAGGAGCCTGCAACTCATCTGGGGCTCCCACGTAGGTGGCAGGGCTGAAGTCCTTGGGCATCTTCCGCTGCCTGCCCTGGCATATTAACAGGAAGATGGATTGGAAATAGAGCAACCAGGGCGCAAAGCGGCACAGCCTAACACCCCCCCCCCACACACACACACGCACGCACACACACACACACAACGACAGCTCCCTTTCTTGATAGATGGAAACAGCATCGTGTATCATCTTTCTTGGAATACTATTCCTGCTAATATTTGTCTTTGACCTTTGGAAGCCTAATGAATACAAGCTTCCTGTGAATTGGCGCTGAGAGGAGGAGCGGGAGGTGCCGCCAGGTCTGTTTATGGCGGTGTCTGTACACAGAGTGCACGTTTCCTCTCGCACTCCGGCTTGTGCAGTAGATACTGAGCAGGATCCTTCAGGTGCTACCTCTTGGTGCTGGCGCTGCCACGCTGGTGAAATCCCATATTGGAGCGCTGGTTCAGCCCGGCCCAGCCCCGGCCATTGTGGCCATCTGGGGAGTGACCCAGCCGATGGAAGACCTTTCTATCCCCCTCTCTCTGTCACTCTGCCTTAAAAGAAGATGGTTTGATGTCCTGTGCCTTGAAGATGAGGGTTAGTTTCTCGTCACCTTTCATGGACTTAATGTGTGTTGGGTGTAGATGACAAATCTTTTTTTTTTTCCCCTTGTAGCCCCCAAAATTGCTCTTACTAGCAGGGGTGTTTTTTTCTTCTTTATAGCCTTAGTTTGAGTAGAAAACCCTGTTGCCCCGTTAGTGTCAGCTATGAGCTGGCTGGAGTGGAGTTGCTGGGAGCGACTGTCGGTCCCCAGATGCCCTCTTCCGGCCACTTGGGGGAAAAAGCAAAAATCAGGATGATTGTCCCGGAATGGGGGGGGAGGGGCGGTTAGTGATTTCCTCCCGTGCGTTTGAACACGTGCAGCAAGTTGTTGTAATGTAGAACAGACACACAGCCCTTGGCTATGTTATAACTGCCACGATTTGCAAAAACACAATGCCCAAAGGGTTAGAAGCAGAAACCACAAACTTTCAGTCCCAGACTGGGTTGTTTATTTCTCCTTTCGGCTGCTGCTCTGGGACTCTGTTCAGTTTTCTGGTTTTCATAAGCCGAGTTATATACAGAGTGTGGAGCACATGTCTTACAAGTGGAGCTGGAGTGCGGGCAGAACAGCCGGGGGGCGGGGGCGGGGGCGGGGTGCGAGTTGTTTTTCGACAGCCTGCTACGGTTCCTCTTGTCTGGAAGCAAACAGCTTCCCGTGGATTGCCTTTGGTTGCCCCAAAGCTGCCGGCCCCTTACCAGGTGTGCCTAGTGCCAGGCCCACGTTTTAGCAGAGAAACACCTGGGGTCATGGTAAAGCCACAGAGGCATCGGATCCAACAGGCGCCCAGAGACGCACTGAGCGGATTGGCTGATTCTTTACAGTGGCCTTGGCCAGGCTCGCCCAGGGCATGGCCGCCTTGGGAGGTCATCCCTGTGGTTGGCTTTGCTGACCTCGGTCATTGCACCCACTCCGTCCATCGGGGGACACCCTGACCAGCTTTGGTGGGTTTTGCTCCAGGGTCATGGTTTTGCAAGCAGATGAGCAGACAGGTCCGTGCCATCTGTCTTCATGTCACGGACAGCTGCTCCCCTGCTTCAGCGGTGGGTGCAAATGGCAGAGTGGGCAGCCCTTGACTTTTTCCAATCCCACCTGCAGTCCTGAGGGTGCCGCACCGCACCGTCAGGGACCTGAGTTCCAGCTCTCTCTTGCTCATCCGAACAAACCTGTGGTTCACTAGCCCGAAAATGCAGTGTTTTCTGGTCTGTGCTGCTTCTCTGAGGCCGAGAGCTGACTGCATTGTTCCTCCTCCTTCACCCTCTATTGTCCGGTCCACTCCTTCTCACCACTGTCCTCCTGTCTTTCCCCTGGTGCCCCTCTGCTTGGCGCCCACAGCAGCCTCAACAGTGTCAACAGTAGCGACAGCCGGTCCAGCGGCTCCCACTCGCACTCGCCCAGCTCGCATTACCGCTACCGCAGCTCCAACCTGGCGCAGCAGGCCCCCGTGAGGCTGTCCAGCGTGTCCTCCCATGACTCAGGGTTCATATCCCAGGACGCCTTCCAGTCCAAGTCGCCATCCCCCATGCCGCCGGAGGCCCCCAACCAGGTAAGTGTGCCCTGGCCGAAGGACTGTGGCCTGGACAGCCCCGTGTCTCCTAACTTGAGACAACCTCAGGTGTAATGTGTTCTTCCCCAAAGAGGGCCGTGCTGCAAGTCGGGTTTGCAGTGCATCCCTGTGGTGGTAGTGGCTGTGACTGCGCTGATGGGGGAGCTCCCACGCAAGTGAGGCCGGTGTGGCCCCGTCCCTGCCAGGCTTAGGCGCTCATTCACGGGAAATGGCGCAGTGGGGATGTCCCCTCTCCCCCATCTCGGGATCTCCCCGAGCGGCTGGGGTCCCAGCGTTGCATAGTGGTTCATACTCTCAGCTTCCCTCTCTCAATTCATGTTGAGCCTGAACCCAAATCACCAGACCCTGTTTGGTGGCAGTTTGCGGTGTGGAGTTGGATGGTGCTAGGTCCAGCCCCGCCCGTACTCCCAGCTGTAGCAGAAAGCGGGAGCTGGGCCCGGCATCGAAGCACCTGTCATGCCTCCTGGTGTGTCTGTGACACCACTCTGTCCTCCCTTAGGACTGTGAGTTGTTGGCCTGGGGCTTAACCATTAAGCAGCACCACATAGAGAAAGTAAAGAACTGTGCCCCACAGCGCCACCTGCTGGGGAAGCAAAGCCAAGGCGTCATGTTATCTCCTGGCTCAGAGCTCCTTCTGGCATTTTTCGGCATCCTGGGTGGACTGTGGCATCAGCCTCTTCCTTGGCTAGAGACTCACTTTCACGTGGAAGCCCTCGAGCCGGGCGACACTCCCTGGTTTTCACGTGCTTGTCCCAGCTGGTGCTTTGACGGTGTCTCAAGCGACCCTACCCCGCCGCCCGCCTTGCTGTGTGCTTCACTAAACCTCACTAAACCTTCCCTGCTGCAGCTCGCAAGCGGAGCGGAGTGGTCGGCAGAGCAGGAACCTGCTGTTCCTCAAAGCCTGTTCTAACGCGCGGCCACGTCTGGGTTTGACAAATTAACATTGTGCGCCGCACCCCTTCCTCCCAAAGACAGTGGCCAGACCGCCTTAGTGATCCCCAGGGAAGCAGAAGGGGACCTGCTGGGATTTCCTGAAATCCCAGAAGTCCATGCCCAAGAGAGCCCGGGCTGGCGACTCCAGGGTGTTTTCCAGAAGCCTGGGGATGCTGCAGAACTGAGTGGAGAATGCATTTATTTATTGATTGATTTTTAAAGAAAGCACTATAGCTGCTTGTAATTATAAAGGAGAGGGGCAGTGACATCCCCTCTATTTTAAGGGTGGAGGAAGGGAGCGCCAGGCCCCCTCACCTCCCCCCTCACCCGGCTCAGCGGCGGCCAAGGGATGGAATTTGTTTCAGCTGCTCCCGTCTACTCTCTTCAAGTCCTGGCTTTCCTGAGAGCCGTTCTCTCAGGCTCCGTAGGAACACTGAGCAGAAGCCCAAAAGCTGTGCACCTGCAGGCCGGGCTCCTGCTCCTCCTTTCCAGTCCAACTTCTCAGGTTAGAGGAACGGAAATCACCAGTGCTGGGGGGCGACTGTAACAATGTATAGTCAGGTTAGCTCCACACAACACATATTCACCACTTAGTGAGCTTTAGTGCCCTCCCATTGATCCCCACTGAAACCATCCTAAACACGAAGAAAACACTGAGATTTAGCAAGCGTGACGTGTGCAGTGCCTCCCCAGGAAGCAGCAGACACGGGACTTGCACCCAGCCTTCAGACTGTCCAAGAATTTGAGCCCACGCCCAGGGCCAGCCCGTGCAGGTGCGCGAGGGCCGCCACAGGCCAGGCTTGGTGACAACAGTCGTGCACGGATCTGTTCCTTGGGGAGTCCCCACGCTCACGGGGCCACGTGGACATGGCTAACATCACTCACGGGACCATATAAAATGAGCACCTTAAAAACGAGCCCGCTCGGGATCTACGGAATTTTTGCGGCTGGCCTGAGGTTGCCCTGGCAGGGCCAGACCCAGTGGTGTCGCCCGCGGGCTGGGTCCTCGCTGCTGCTCCAGGGCTTGACAGCGTCTGTGTGGCTGCGACTCGGGGGGACAATAACCCTAACACTCTGCTTCTCTCATCTTCCCTCTCCCGTGTCGGTGTCTTTCTCTCTGCCTGCCCCGCCCCGCCCCGCGCCTGTCTGTTTCCTCCCCTGTGTGTGCTTCGGCTTCTGTTCCCGGTGCGCCCGTGCGGCCCCCTGCCCCACTGCAGAACTCGTCCAGCTCGGCCTCCTCAGAAGCCTCGGAAACCTGCCAGTCAGTGAGCGAGTGCAGCTCCCCGACCTCGGTCAGCTCGGGCTCCACCATGGGGGCCTGGGCGTCCACCGAGAAGGTGACCGCGCGCGCACGCGGGGCGGCCCCGCTCCCGACACTCAGCACCTGCAGCCAGCGTGGGCCCTTCTGGGGACTGGGGGGCGGGGGCGGGCCAGGACGGAGGGCTGGGGAGCGCTGGCCGTGCATCCTCCTGAGGGAGAGGAGGGGTATGGGGAACTTGGAGGTGTGAAGGCTCCCCCCCAGATCAGGCGTTGTGTGCTCATCCACCTGCTGCCCTACCTCAGCCAGCCCACCGGCTGTGGCGTCTCACCGTGTCGGGCTGTGCGCTCCTCTGCCTTTTAGATCGCACCCCCCCCCCCCCATGCCCACCCTTGATTGCGAATCTGTTCCCGAACAATCTCCTTGATTTTTGGAAACCTAGAATGAACAGATTGATTTGAAGATGCTTCCGGATTTTTGAATTTGCCTCACGAGATGAGCAAATCGATTGCTTTTGTTCGTTTAATAGCAAGGAGTCTTAAGAATGTTGGTGGAAAATGAGTATGATGACAAATGTATGCACTGGGCTTGGTGCCCAAAGAAACTTTTTGTTTTCATTCCACTTTCCTGAACGCTTTGAAGTTGGCTCTCCCTAAGAGAGCCACAGAGCAATTTCCAAACCGCTCTAAAATTCCAATCAAGGATTTCCTCGGCACCCCCGTGCCCGCCTGCCCTGCACCCTGGCTCCCCCTCTCGCATTCCAGCCCATCCCCGAGCACCTTTGTTCCACGTATAAATATTCAGGGTTCCCCTCCCTCGAATGTCAACGCCATCTTATATCTCCGCACTCATCCTGTTGTATTAATTTTTTTTTCCCTTTTCTTCCCTCATTTTGTTTTGTTTCCAGTTGTCTAACGGGTTTTCTCACTGTAGTTTGTCCAGTGAGTCCCATGTGGGGCCCGTGGGCGCAGGCCTTTTCCCTCCCTGCCTGCCCGCCTCCCGGCTGCTGCCCCGGGTCACCTCTGTCCACCTTCCAGACTACGCTCATTATCACACCATTGGGCCCGGCATGTTCCCGTCATCTCAGATCCCTAGCTGGAAGGTTTGTGTCTCTCCTCCCTCCCACCTCTCCCCTCACAGCCTGTGCTCCTCCCTCTTCTGTTCCCCCGCCCTCCCCCAGCCCTCCCTCCCGCCCCCTACCTCTCACACTCTGCCTTCTTCCCCATAACGCCTCTCCCTCCATAAATTCCCACTGGGGACAACCAAACAGCAGCCAGCAGCTCCAGAACCTGTTGCCCACGGAGTGTGGGACGGGGGAAGTCTTCCTGTGGGGAGCTCTGGTCAACCCTGATAGGCAGCAGGCCCAGTGTGCACTGCAAAGGGCGTCGGGTCCAAGTTCAAAGGCCCGGTTCTGCAGCGAGATGAAGTCCGGGGGCCGCTCGAGGGGGTCGCATCATCAGAGAACCTGTACTGCCCTCTGCCACCGTGTTCTACAAACTTCTGTTAGCAGGTCACGGTAGCAGAACCGGAACCCCAAATGGGTCTTGGAAGACCCTGTTTTATGCATGCAGACTTGCAGTTTTGATTGTTTGCATTAAAATGCACTTACTTTGATAGACAGTTTTAAAACGATCTTCTGGCGGGTTCTGTTGGTGCACCTCTTCAGAGGCCTTAAGGCCACTCCCCTGAGTGGAGGTTCAACGCAGGGAGGGTGGCTGACATTGCTCTAGTGCCCCCTGGTGGCCACTCCTGTAACGGGAATCCCTTAGCCGGCTCTGGGGCCTGTGGTTCCTTAGACAGAAGGGTGGAGCCGGTCTCTAGGACCTGTGCCTGGTGCCACAGCCCGTGTGAGGTGCTGGTGACTAGGAGTCTCCTGCTGCCTGCCTGGTTATTGAGGGCTCTTAATCTTCAGGCAGCAGTGAGGAAAAGTCCCCCGGGGGCCCCCAAGGGTTCTTCCACCTCCTGCCTTTGGAGCTGGGTGAGCGCGCGCAGAGAGAGCATCCCTCCGAGAAGCCGCCCTGACATGGGCGGCCGAGGCCCTGGCTGCTGACCGTCTTGTTCTGCTCAGGACTGGGCCAAGCCAGGCCCCTACGACCAGCCCCTGGTGAACACGCTGCAGCGCCGCAAGGAGAAGCGTGAGCCAGACTCCAATGGAGGAGGGCCCGCCGGTGCGGGCGGCCCGCCGGCGGCTGCGGACGAGGCCCAGAGACCGCGCCGCATGACCGTGTCGGCTGCCAGCAGGGTGACGTGTTCTCTGTTGCTGGTGGGGGGCCGGGGCAGCTGCAGGGACCTAGGTGCCGTTCGTCCATTTTCTGCTCTACAGCCTGTAGAAGACCCTTGGGGAAAGCCTTAAATGGGGAATCAGACATGTAGAACTTTCTAGAACTTTGGGTCAGGCCCAAGCAAGGCAGGAGCACCCTGGGCTATTGACCCGTGGTGCTCCCGGGGGCAGGGTAGGGCTGTTGGCGGATGGTTCCGGGAGTCTCACACCAGGGGTCTCACGGCTGGGGGCTCCTCTGTGTCCCTTCCTGTAACCGCAGCCTGGTGAGGAGATGGAAGCTTGCGAGGAGCTGGCCCTCGCCCTGTCGCGCGGCCTCCAGCTGGACACCCAGAGGAGCAGCCGGGACTCCCTGCAGTGCTCCAGCGGCTACAGCACCCAGACGACCACGCCGTGCTGCTCCGAGGACACCATCCCCTCCCAAGGTACGAGGCGGCCTGGGGCTCGCGGCCAGGCTTTCCCGGCAGTGCCCGGTGAGGAGGCAGGAAAGCCTGTGCGTTGGGACTGCTTAGCCCAGGTGGGCTTCAGAACCATCAGGGAACCTGGACCTGGAGAGCGGACCTGGAGGTTTCTGGTAGCTGTCGTGGGAGAGAGGGGCATGGACTTCCGCTGCTGCTCTCATTTGTCACCATCAGGGTGATATGGTGGCCACCAGCTGGAACTGGGAAGTAGGCTGTTGACAGCAGTGACTCCATTTTTGTTTCTCATCACTTTGTGCTAAGTACTTTCCCATTGAACTTTCTCAACCCTTATGGGACATTTTTTTTTTTATCTGAAAGACAAGGAGAGGCATAGGGAGAGAGACTGACAGATCTTTAGTCCGTTGGTTCACTCCCCAAATGGCCACACATCCAGGTCTGGGCCAGGCCAAAACCAGGTGCCAAGAACTCCATCCTGGTGTACCACGTGGGTGGCAGGGGCCCAGGCACTTGGCCCTTCCCCACTGCCTTCCCAGGCACAATAGCAGGAAGCTGGCTCGGAAGCAGAGCAGCTAGGACACAGTGTGCCAGCATCGCAGGAAGCAGCTTAACCCACTGTGCCACAGTGCTGGCCTCTGGGAATAAGTTTGTTCATCCCATTTACAGCTACGGACATTGGCGCTCAGGAGTTTGTCAGTTAGAGGTGGAGTCGGATCCTAAGGTTTGTTAGAGTCTACCCCACAGGCTCTTAAGACAGTGAGTCGCCCTAGAGGGTGACCTTGTTCTCTGGGGGCTGCTTGGTGACATGTGGAGGACTGGAGGGGCTGCACATGGAAGGTGGAGGCCAAGGACACCAGCGGGCACCCTGTGAGGCCCAGGACAGCCCCCAGCGCCCCCCGCAGAGGGTCACCAGAGTTCTGCAGTTGAGAAGCAACACCATAATACAATGTTTGATGTGCGCTTCCCCCACCCCGGGTCACCTGGAGATGAGTGCTTGGCCATTTTCTTGGGAGTAAATGAGCACAGGTCCCGGATGGAACCCATCCTTCTCCCTTGTCTTCAGGGATTCTCTGCCAGTAGCTCTGGGTTTTGTTTTCTTTTGTTTTAGATTTATTTACATACTTGAAAGTCAGAGTTAGAGAGAGTGAGAGAGCGAGCACACTTCCATCTGCTGGCTCACCCCCCCCCCCCAGATGGCCTCAATGGCCAGGGCTGGGCCAGGCTGAAGCCAGGAGCTTCATCCTGGTTTCCCAGCGTGAGTGCAGGAGCCCAGGCACTTGGGCCGTCTTCCACTGCTTTCCCAGGCCATAGCAGGGAGGTGCTGGGGAAGTCGGGCAGCCAGGACCTGAACCATTGCCCACATGGGATGCTGGCATCTCAGGCAGCCCTCTCCGCCGCACCACAGTGTCGGCCCCTGCTCCATTCCTTTCTGGCCCTCAATTACATATCAGGGAGATGATGGGGCCCGTGCTCGTGGGACTGGATTTTTCTCCACGTTGAGCTCTGGACTGGAAGGTTTGTAGAATCTCTGTCCTCTGCCATCCTCTGTGCCCAGAGCCACTGGGAGGTCTGGCACTTCCACAGCCTTCCTCACTCCATGGTGGTGCTCAGGGCACGTTCACAAGGAAAGCAGAGAGGGGACAGCACGGAGGGCTGGGGCGGCCGGGGAGGAGCGTGTGTGTGTTGTGCCCTCCCCTCTCCCACCGAGGCATCAGAAAGCTAAGCCCGTGCCTGGATGTGTCTGACCGCCCTGCCATCAGTTTCAGATTACGATTATTTCTCCGGAAGTGGCGACCAGGAGGCTGAGCAGCAGGAGTTCGACAAATCCTCCACGATTCCGAGAAACAGTGACATCAGCCAGTCCTACCGACGCATGTTCCAAGCCAAGCGCCCCGCCTCCACTGCCGGCCTCCCTACCACTCTCGGACCTGCCATGGTCACCCCAGGGGTAGCCACCATCCGACGGACGCCTTCCACCAAGCCTTCTGTCCGCCGGGGCACCATTGGAGCTGGGCCCATCCCCATCAAGACACCAGTGATTCCTGTCAAAACCCCCACTGTCCCAGACCTGCCGGGGGTGCTGCCAGCACCCCCAGATGGGCTGGAGGAGCGCGGGGAGCACAGCCCCGAGTCACCATCCGCGGGCGAGGGCCCCCAGGGTGGCCCCAATGCGCCCACCTCCATGTGGAGCGGCCAGGCCTCGGTCAACCCTCCACTTCCAGGCCCAAAGCCCAGTATCCCCGAGGAGCACAGACCGGCGATTCCGGAAAGCGAGGCCGAAGACCAGGAGAGGGATCCCCCAAGTGCCACGGTCTCCCCAGGCCAGGGCGCAGAGAGTGACCCTGCAGAGCTGAGCCCGAGAGAGACTCCGCAAGGAGAAGATATGCTGAACGCCATCCGCAGGGGCGTGAAGCTGAAGAAGACGACGACGAACGATCGCTCGGCCCCCCGCTTCTCGTAGGCGCTCTTAGGCTCGCAGGGAGGGGTGAACTCTTTCATGAATACAAGCCTAATTTGTCTTGATCCATTCCAATCTATAATCAAACAAGATATTTTGTAGGCAACTCAGAATACAGCTCTTTTGAAAGTACCCGACATCTTTAGATAAGAATTAAAAGCAACATATGTAACTGACATAATCTTGATCTTTTAATTTGTAAATATTGACAGTTTTCTTTCTGCACATTTTAATCTTAGTTTCCCTTTTGATTTTTCTGAAGGTGCCAAATTCCATTTAACTTTTTTACAAGTCTTTGTAAAATTTTAAATGCATACGGGGGAGGGGTGGTTGGGGCAGGGGAACCAATAAGTAGTTAATTTCAGAAAAGGATTAATATACTCGGCTCTTTCTTCTTTTTCTTTTCCCTGTAAGCTTTTGTAGATGCATTGTAATAGTCTAGCTTAGAAGCAAACTCGAGTTATTTTAATGTACAAACAAAATGGCTAAGGGGACGCGTCCCCACCTACCATGCGCCGTTCTGGATGGCAAGAGCAGGAGGAGCGATGACGAGCAGCACAGACAGGAGCAAATCTGGAAAAGGTAGCCTGTTGGGATTGGGGGGAGGGCCGTGGGAGGGGCACACTGTCAACATAGCCGATCCCGTTCCATTTAAACCGTAGCCTCGTAGCTTGACTTTCTAGTAGCTTTCATGGTAAATGCATCCAAATAAGCCATACTGGATTGCCGTGTTTGTTTCTGTAGGGTGTTTAAGGACTCTGTTCCGCCACGCTTCCTCCCACCCCGCACACAGCACCCACCTCGTCCCCAGCATGCCGCGCCGCCGGGTACACGTAGTCCCCCGCCCCCCACTTCAGTTCCTCCTCTGCTGTACTCACTTTCACGGAATCACACATCCAAAAGGGTAAGGCAGTTTAAAACCACGAAGACACTTACACAAACGAGAGCAGGGAATTCTTAGATAGAGTAAATGCCTTTACTTAGCTGTGCCCAGCAGGCTGGGTGCATTGAAAAGCCCAAATATTAAAAAAAAAAAAAAAAAAAGAAAAGAAAAAAAAAGAACAAAGAACTCAAGCGGATTTAACAAGGGTAGCCAGCGTGGAGTCCGGCCACTGGCCAGTGTGCTTACGAACCTGGGGGCTTGTTTTTCGTACCTTCCTCTGAAGGGATGGCAGTTAGTTGGCTTCATACTACACACTGAAGACAGGATTGATTTATCATCACTGGGAATCCACCCATGATCCCGTCTGGGTTGTTTTGGTTGTTGTTGCTGTACTCTAGGTAATTTTTTTTTTTTTTTTGGAATGGAGTTGTCTTTTCTTCTTTAAGTGGAAATCTGTTATAATGCCCATCCCCAAGTCAACAGAGATCTGTAGGTTTAAAGGGGCCCTGCGTGGAGCAGCTGAGAGTTTGGAAAGCGAGCATGCCCCCTGCCGGTTTCTGTTGGCTCTGATTGTCACTGACATCATCTTGTGCTTTCCACATCACTCACTGGACGCGAGAGGCACGCACCTGTACAGCCGTCGTTCTGTATAGTAACGCTTAACCTGCTGTGATTGCTCAAGGGCATTTTCTGTTCCGGCTTTAAAGCAAAGGCATGATTATTAGGAACTATTTAAGCGTTTTTTTCTTTGAAAAACAAGCTCCTTTACAGACTATAAGCAACAGTAGTGCCTGTGGTGTAGCCCGCCAATCTTGATGACTGAAAGTAGCTGATGCATTGTGCATATGATGCTGGAGGTGGTTTCTGCAGAAGCAGAAATCGCCGCAAGGTAATTACAATCGGTAAAAGTGGTATTTTAAACCTTTGGAATAAATGGATGTAACTGTACCTTGGTACAGCTTCTCACTTGTTTAGTTTTTAAACGTTAGTATAATCTGAATAAATTTAATATAAAATGTTGCCAAATTCAATGTAGAAAGAATGTGACGAAACACCTTGGGTAGTTCTGTTTGTGTTTTTGCATATTGTAAAAGCAGTGTCACAGCTGAAAATAAAGAGATCCTTTCTAAAGGTAAATTATTGTGGTTTAGTTGCTAGTTTGTACTGAGAGTTGACCTCTCCCTGTGCAGTTTTTTGTTCTGAACTTGTATAAATAACGATTGTGTACTGTGTCTCCCTTCTACATTGTAACAATTGCTTCAGCCTACATAAATAAAGAACCACTAGAAAAAGAAAGTGCCCTGTATTTCAAGTCTCATTAGAATTCAGTAGTTTGAGGTCTTAGTCAAAACTCAGAAGCTGGAGACTTATTTGGGAACTGTCTAACGGCGTCCGTCACGGCTACTTCGGAGCCCTAAGAACGCTACTTGATTGAACTGAGTTGAACACAATTCTGATGAGTTAGGAAGAACGAACAGCCATTTGGGCTGAATTTCAAAAACTGCTTTCCCCTTTAAAAGGACAACTTGAAGCATACCAAGAGTTCCACTATAATCTTACTTTTGAGTCTGGAAACAATCCAAGCTTAGAGGGGAGCAGAGCTGTAGGTGTCATCCCCACACTGGACTCTTCAACCCCAGAGAACTCCATAACCCCCAGTGTTTATTTGCTCACTCTGTGCTGCCTCGGGAGTTGTCCTTTTAATAAACACGAAAGTTCCACTGGTGGAACCTTTATAAAAATCAAAGTGCTATCTTAAGTTCTCAGTATTTCTCTTCTTGGCTCTGTATACTCCTTCCAGCCACTACAGCTAACAAAGCCTTGAACCCAAGAGTGTTCAGCTCCATGTTCAGAGTGAATCTTGAATCTGGTTCTGTTGTAGTTTATGTATGTATGTATGTATCTATTTATTTATTGAAAGGCAGAGATAGGAGAGCAAGCGAGCTTCCATCTGCTGGTTCACTCCCCAAATGGCCACAACAGCTGGGGCTGGGCCAGGCTGAAGCCAGGAGCTTCTACCTCGTCTCCCACACGGGTGCTGGGGCCCAAGGACATGGGCCATTCTCTACTGCTTTCCCAGGCCATCAGCAGGGAGCTGGATGGGAAGGGGAGCAGCCGGTACTCAAATCGGAGCCCACATGGGAGGCCCGCACTGCAGGCAGAGGCTTAACCTATGCCATAGTGCCGGCCCCAGTTTGTCTTACTGATAACAACCGCTGATGACGTGATTTACTGAGAAAGCACATGGGATGGGCTGCATCCGACATTTTCTTTACATGCACAACCGACAAGAAAGCAGACAGTGGCGCACTTGGCATGGCCATCTCAGAACACCTCACTCACTCCAGATTATACTGAGTTACTTTTATTAGGGCAAGTGTGTGTACGTCCTGCGACTGATTTCACTTGCAAGCATGAACAGTGAAGTGTCTCTCTCCTACGTGGGCCGCTCCCGGGGCCTGGTCACAATGTGCCACCACAGTGGGGGCAAATCGCCTTCCTTCCGGGCAGGGGGCAAAGCTTCAGTCTTAGGACCACCGGGTGGGGTTTCCTCCTGCAGCTGCTTAACCTAGAAGGGACGAGGAAGGAACAGTTACCCAAGCAGTCCAATTGACCAGAAAACCTGCCTGTTGCAGTCAGCGGTATGTCAGTTTTATTCCTACGGTGTGTCAACTCACACACCATCTGGGCCTGAGGACTAAGAGCTGTGTTTTTTAATAAGATAATACTTCAGGAAGTTTGTGGAAGAATGGAATTGGAAGCTGATGCACATCTTCCACAAACTTCCTTGAGTACCCTTGTATCAGCACCTGCAGCATTTTCATACCTGCAGTTTACTCAGGAAAAATTTTCTCCTCAAAGCAGGGGTGGGGAAGCTTTTCTCCCCCCAAGGGCCACGTGGATATGTATACCATCACTTGCCGGCTGTATAAAAGGATCACTTGTAAGCACTAGCCTGAGTCCCACTTGTGCCTGCCCTGGCAGGGCCAGAGCAAATGATTCTGTGGGCCTCTTACGGTCCACGGGTCAGACGTTCCACACCGTCTTAAAGGGTCCCCATCCTTAAGGCAGCAAGGCTGACAAGAAACCCTTTACCCTTCCTCTTGTTTAAGCCAAAACATGGCCCCCCACTGCTCTGCCTAGACGTGCATTTATCTCTGTGTCTAAGTGCTCTTCCTAAAACCACCATTAAGAACCCACAGCTCCCATGTACACATCAGGGAGTAACTGGAAAGCTGCCTCCCTACCCCTGTCCAGCCACCGGGACAAGAATACCATGAAATCACGTATGAAAACAGGCAAGTCTGCCTTTCTGCCGAGCTACCCCTAGTTCAATGACCTCCAAGAGCAACGTCCTCACACAGGAGGCAGCTCTAGAAGCAACCACTGTGGCGGAGCTGGGCCTCCAGGGAGTGCTGCGAAGAGTGCTGAGGAGACGGAGGAGGGAGGAGTGCTTGCGAGGAGGAGGTTCCTCAGGTGAGCCACTGCCAGGTGAGCCGGCCGCTCACTGGGCAGACGCTTCAGCCTTCCAAGTGCCAAGACATTTCTTACTCGACGGTACCCGTGGGCCACGGTGACTTTCCCTCCCTCCCCTCCCCCTTGGTCACGGACTTTCAACATCCGCATCCTGGACCCTATCACCAGGACCAGCACAACTTCCAAAATCATGCGTCACATGTCCGCTATCCGATCATCACCTCCCCTAGCCGCTCATTTGCTTGCACGCCCACCTGAAGCCGAGAGGCTGCCAATCGCAGGGCCTCCCTCCCCACTCGACCTCTCCATGCAGCAGCCTCCTTGCTCTACCCGCTGCTATGCCATCGTGACAACCAGAGCCTCTTACAATTCTCTGTAGACAACTGGCAAACTGTGCCCCTGACCTTAGCCTGTAGCCATACCGCTTAGTACTGCTAACGCGAAAATGCTGAAAAAAGCTGGCGTCCAGTGGGCCTTCACCACCCTGGCGTCCACTACTCTCCAACAAGCTCAGATCACTACAGGTTGCACCCACTCCTACTGACTTCTACTTCTGCTCAAGAAACACAAGCTATCACAGAAGCCTGTCAGTTTCAAAACTTGCAGCCCAAATGTATTCACGGAAGTCTCGTGTCCAATTACACGGCAGGAAGAATTCCTTCTCCCTTCTTTCTTTCTCTATACCCTCTCCTAAGGAGCTCAAACATTTCGAGGGCTTACTCACTTATATTAAAGATCTATTTTACTGATCTGGGCTTCCCACGTGACTCATGGGAGCCCGCACTTACACCATCACCTGCGGCCTCATGAGTGCATTAGCAGGAAGCTGGATCGGAAGCGGAGGCGGGGCTCAGCCCCAGGCATTCTGATGGGATGCAGGGCATCACACGTGGTGTTTCACCTGCTGCACAACAGCCTGCCCCTCTAGTTTTTAAAAAAACAAAAACCTAATACATTTCTATTCCTAGATTAAATCTTTCCTTGGAGTTCCAGATTGCGACACCAAGTTGCCTGCTGATCAGACTCCCAAAGTGAAGGCTTGATTGTCTCTCTGACCTCCCATCCTTCCTTCCCTATCCCCGTCACCACCACCACCAAACTCCAGATGTTAACGCCTAAAACCCAGAAACCTTGTCAATTCCTCTGTCCCTCCCCAATCTGCCACATCCAGATAATCTCAATGTACTTTCAAAAGACAGCCTGAATCCATTTCTTTCCATATCCACCCTAGTGCTAGACACCGTAACCTTTCAGCTACACTACTGCAAAAACCCCAAATCGGTCTCTTCCCTGGGCCTCTCCAGTACAGTAAATATAACTCTGAGTGAGCACCACCTGGTAACTCGTGAAGCTCAAGGGAGAGGGAGGTACAGCAAAAGGGTCCAAGGGCTAAGGAGGGGAGGAAGCAAACAAACGAGGGAAGACATCATAACCCATTTGTAAGACGGCAGGAGGTGGTAAGCTGGAGACAATTAGAAACTCCAGTATGTCGGAGAAGCAAGGGGCCAGGCCTGGAATCCGTGTATCTGCCCACAGGACCAAAGCCCTGTCCTGTGCTGACCAAGTGCACGGTGAAGGGCAAGCAGGACACACCTCTCGTTCCCAGCTTTCTCTCCGCAGTTTCTTCCACTGCTCTCTCTTGGCAAAGTAGTCAGGATACATCGCCTTCTCAGAAGGATGCCAGTAATCTAAGCACCATTCCGGAACCTGTCAGGAGAGGAAACCATGGCGTCACTGCACAGGATATGTTCACACGCCACTCACAGGGCCTGCTTGGGAGACAGGAGACAAAATTCAACTTGTATTTTTATAACTTTTGCAATGAGTAGACTGTGTCTGGACCTAAGCAATGAACAGGGACCAGAAAGCAGGGAGGATACTTAGAGTGAAAGTGCCCACTCCTATAAAATGGCAGCAAGGCCGGTCCAAAGACAGTTGCATCATTCCTCCCCTGCTTTTCCCAAATACTCCCTGTGGGCTTATGTTAGTGGAAGCATTGCACCGTCTCAGAAATACCAAGCACCAACACAAGTTGGTGAACTTTAAGGTCTCTGAATGAATTATATAGCAATAATTTGCCACAAAGTACGATGCGAGTCCTTGCAGCTGAATTTAGAAAGAAAAATCTTTAGACACCTGGGAGAGGGGAAAACAAACACCTTAGCTAAACTGAGAAGCGCCCGGAAAGAAATCTCGGCGCTACCCCTCAAACGGCAAGCTGTTCAGAGGCCGGGGTTTGGGGCTGAGAAGCTGGGTGTGCGTCTCAGAAGGCAGGCACCTACCTTGTAGCACTCGTATCTCTCATAGGAGGTCCCCCCAGGGGAGTCGGGGAAGATGTACGGCTGCGGGTGCTGATTGCACCAGAACTCTTCCTCTGCGTCCCTCAGCAGCCGGGTGGCTTTCATCATATCCTTTTCATTCTTATGTTCATCAAACCGGGCTCTCAACAAGCAAGCAAAGTACCGGTACTTGTCCCTTAAACCAGAGTGAGTGGAGATTAGGCATGTTACCTACCAGGGGGAGGTTCCTGGGTGACAAGAGGCTGTACTCTGGGAGCAAGGGAGGGCTGCCGAAGACGGTGAGTGGGCAGGCACAGCAGTGCAGGCGGAAACACCTCTCATGTCTGTAGCACAGGAGCATGACCGTGGCTGACAACAAGTGAGTACTAAAAGCACAGAGGATTTTGTATGTTCCCAACACAAAGCTGCAAGCCCGAAGTTACGGATAGGCCAATCACCCCGACTGTAACATGATGTATGCGTGTACCGAAATACAGTATTACACTGTACTCTATAAATATGTACAATTAGGATGTGTCA